TATCCAACTCTAAATCATTGCATATTTTATTATAGTATTTGGTTTTATCTTCTCGAGCTGATCTTTGAAATTTTCTGTTCAGCTCTGTTCAGCGTAGTGGTTACGAATTGGGCTGCGAACTTCAAGGTCAGCAGTTCAAAAAAATTACCAGCTGTTCCGTGGGAGAAAGATGAGGCTTTCTGCTCCCGTAAAGATTTACAGCCACGGAAACCCTGTACAGGGTCACTAAGAGTCGGAATCTACTCCACGGCACATAACCATCACGACCACCACACGATTGAAAAATTATTTGTAAAAACAATTCAAGGCCATACAGTATGCTGTATTCCTTCAGAAAACACTTTGTTTCTGGTAGGCGCTAAAGGTTCTGGCAGTCTGGAAAAATCTTAGTCAAGCATTGAAGACTTTCTGGACACTCATCATTTGAAGCTGAGCTGAAAGTTGTGTGTCTAGAGTGGGGAGAAAGGATAGAGAGGGGCGTTCTATTTCTAATTCTCTCTTGCTGGTAAGCTGCAGCACTCTGGGGTCTCTGTTTCCCAGGACCTCTGTCTTCACCAGTGCTGCTACTCATAGCCAGCTGAGCCTCCCAGTCTACATTAGCAAAGCATTACAGGGAACCAGGAGCCCCAAACCACCACACTCCTCGCTCTGAGTTCCCAGGTTTCTCTGTGGCTACGTTACTACATTGTTAGCTCTTTGAGGTTTTCATGTATATTTTTGCAAGTGTATTTTTTTCTTTAATGTATGTATATGTATTTTTTTTTTCAATCTTGTATAGCTTTATTAATTGTCCTCAATGTTTATTTATGTTAATCCAAATTATATATCCCCAAGACTTGAAAGACAGTCTTTCTCTAACTGAATTAAAATTTTAGAGTAATTATGAGTGAGTGAGTTTTTAAACTCCATTGCTACCTATTGTTATTTAGTTATTTCAACTTTTATTTAATCAATCATAAAACCAATATTCAAATACATTTTGGGAAAAAAAAAAAAAAAAATATATATATATATATATATATATATAAATATCCCCAAATTCAAGGACTGGTAATAGCTCCTATTTGGAAAAAGCATCAAATACATTGCTTCATTAGATCATTCAAAGAGCAAATATTATTGTTTCAATTATGTGGAAGGTAGTAAAAGAAGCAAATATACCTGATGTTGCTATTTTAAATAACCTTAAAGTACAAAGTGAGTAATCTTGGAGATTTTGTAAAATAAAGTAAATGTTTATGTAAAAACATTTCAGTTAAGGTGGTCAATTAAAGGCAGCCATAGACCTAATAATAGATAACATTCAATAAAAATAAAGACAATTATTTTGACATTATTAAAGTTATGATGCTCTTTTTTAGCCATCTGAAATTAATCAATTTTGGTTCCCTGAACAATACACATTACTGAAGTGCAGTGAATTATTAAATGTCTCTTCTAACCAGAGTCCTTAGAACTCCCACCAAGTACTTTTCCTGACAATGAAGGGCAAGAGAAGGTGGGGACGGATGCTGATGGATTATACAATTCAGCTGTGAGTGACTTAACAGGGCTAATTGTGATTGAGCACTTTTACTATACTGCTGGGTATAAAACGAGCCATCTCAGAAGGAGAGCCAGGAGTGGAGTGTGTCCTTTGTACCCCGAGATCCCTGAGCACTGACCCTGCTCAATCTAAGGACAGGAAGCTGTGACAGTGGGGGAGGAGCAGAGGAGCAGCAGCAGCAGCACCAAGAGCCAAAGCAGGAGACAGGGCAGAAGCCATCCCAGGCCGCAGATGAAGTGAAACTGAGTAACTTTGGGCAGGAGGCTCCCTAGCAGAATGGGGTATCTCCAGGTACTTAATTGAGGAAGCCGAACCATAGAGTATGCCTAATAGAGCAGGGCAAAGGTCAGGCCAATGGTCCTGAGGGCACAGTTGAGGCGAGGCTGATCTGAATGGAAGAACTGTGCCCTGAGAATTTCTGATCCCAAATTGTAACCTGGAGTCCTGGTGTGGCGCTGTGGGTTAATGCTTTGGACTGCAAAGTCGTTAAGAACCGCAAGGTTCAAGCTCACCAGCCACTCCTAGAAACCCTATACAGGGTCGCCATGGGTTGGAACCGACCCAAGGGCACTTAACAAGAGCAACAGCTTCCCTATTATAAACCCTGTAACTGTGAGTATGGTATCTGAGTTCTTTGTGACTATTTATGCAATTACCTTGATTTGGGACAGAATGACAGACAACAACTTTATGTATTTTGCTGAAACACAAGAGATATTAACTGTGCCGCACTAAAGACAAGAAGAGTGTAACAATTCACACCAAGAAAAACCGAGTGTGGGCTCAATGCTTTTGTTTCATACATACAGTTGTCAAGTGAAATGAGTCAACTTACACAGCTCTTCTCTATCGAGAGACTGCGCTCCACCTCCAAATAGGCCTTTAAAGAATCCTCTATTGGGTGCTTCAGGCGTTTCCACAGGAGTGAAGAGTTCTCCCAACATTTCCTTCAAAATCCAAACAAATGATCATTGTTAAAGCTCCAAAGAAAGAAAACTATGATTCTGGAAACC